CCTGACAGGGAGGCCATTGTTGGTTTTTATCAGAATCACTTTCAGTGGAGTGGTTGAGAAAGACAGGTGGAGAAGTAAATGGAAAGAAAGGAATGAAAGATTAAGGACATGAATTTTTAAAAAAATAGAATGTCAGTAAAGGAAAGGGAAATGCTAGACAGCATTATAGTTAGTGAGAACTGGGAAGAACCATAGACTTGTTTTTAGGTTGTGAATAAGAAGCTGATGTAGAACCAGAGAGTAACACTATAGGCCCAATGCACAAATTCATGCACCAGTGGGGTCCCTCGGCCTGGCCTGTGGGATCAGGCTGAAACCAGCTCTGTGACATCCCCTGAGTGTTCCTGGATTGTGAGAGAGCATAGCATAGGCCAGGCCGAGGGACCCCACTGGTGTATGATCAGGGGTGGGGAGGGATGTGGGAGGTTAGCCAGCCAGGGACAGACTATGGGAAGGCTCCAGGACATGTCTGGCCATTCTTGCTCAGTCCCAATAGGCCGGACCCCAGCAGCAAGCTAACCTACCAGTCAGAGCATCTGCCTCTGGTAGTCACTGCACATCATAGCAAGTGGTTGAGTGGCCTTAGCATATCATTAGCATATTATGCTTCGATTGGTTGAACAGATGATTGGACACTTAGCATATTAGGCTTTTATTATGCAAGATAAGCAAAAAATATTAAGTTTGAGTGTGATATATCTGATTAAAGTATAGATGCCTGTCCTAGCTGGTTTGGCTCAGTGGGTAGAGTGTCAGCCTGTGGACTGAAAGACCCTGGCTTTGATTCCAGTCAAGGGCACATGCCTGGGTTGTGGGCTCTATACCCAGTCTTAGCCTTGTATTAAGAGACATTTTTGAGAACAATGAAATAGAGAATCGATGGGTTATTACATGTGAAATAAATGGAGAACGACATGTTGTGTGGGCTCAGTTTTTCCTGTGATATTGAAGCCAAAGCCATTTGTTCAGAGTCCCCAACTCTCTTAATTTCAGGAATGTGTTTGTTCCCTTCCTAGACTGTAAGTCCCTTGGGAAAAAAGAATGACTATATCTTACCCATTTTTATCATTTGTCTTCTATTATCAGACATAATTCCTTGTATATATTAGACGCTCAAACTTGGTAGAATATTTGAAAAAGAGAACAAAGAAAGATAAGTCCATGAGATAATTTTCCCCATGAGATAATAGTGTACTAGATCTATTTGAATAGGTGATTATATAATCATAATTATATCTGCAATAAATTCAGTACAGAATTTCTTAAAATTCTATACATTTCTTATTTGTGTTTTAATGTTTATTTTACACTTCTAGTTTTTAGAACTAATTTAATTTATACTTACTGTGGTATCTATAGTCAATTTTATTTTTTAAAAATATTTTTATTGATTTCAGAGAGGAAGGGAGAGGGAGAGATAGAAACATCAATGATGAGAATCATTGATTTGGCTATCTCCTGAACACCCACAACCTGGGCATGTACCTTGACCAGGAATCGAACCGGGACCTCCTCCTGGTTCAAATGCTCAACCAATGAGCCATGCTGGCAGGGCATCTACAGTCAATATTAAAGGGCAGTTTTTTATGATCACTTTCTTACAATCATATATAATAAAGAGGTAATATGCAAATTAGCCCTCATGCCCTAACAAGATGGCTGCCTATGACCAGGCCAGCTGGGAGGGTCATGAGGTATGACCAAACAACTGAACAAGCAGGCTGTGTGGAGCTACCAGGCTGGCAGGGGGAGTGGGGGCAGTTAGGTATGACCAGGCAGGCAGGCAGGTGAGTGAATAGGAGCCAATGATCCAGGATTGTGAGAGGGATGTCCAACTGCCAGTTTAGGCCTGGTCATCCCCCAACGGGTCCCGGATTGGAGAGAGTGCAGGCTGGACTGAGGAGACTCCCCCTCCCCCTTTCCATGTACAAATTTTGTGCATTGGGCCTCTAGTTCAAATATATAGAATTTTTAGTAAGGTCCTATTTGGAGGAATGTGAATGTTTGTGTTTGGCATAGTTGAGTTGCATCTCAGCTTCTTAAATTACCTTTTTTTTAAAAATGTATATTTAAGATCTTACACCTATATAAGTTATGTACCATTTTGCTTTATATATATATTTATTAGTAATAATAATAAAAACTGACATGTAAGACATTATGTTACAGGCACTATTCTAAGTAGTCTACACAATTTACTTATTTTTTCTTCATAACAACCCAATGAGGCTGAGCCTATTATTATTTTATAGATAAAGAAACAGGTATAGAGAGGTTAGTTAATGTGCTCAAGGTCACAAAAGAAGGGTGTTCATGATATCAACCACCACTTCTAATACAGACATAGACAGAGATACAAATGTATATGCATTTACCACCTATTGCTTATGTGCCTGTTTTCTTTACCTTGAGCTCCTTAAGGTCAAGGACACTGCCACTTGTCAATAAATATTTTGTGAACAAATGAAGAAACGAGTTTCTTGCTTTCCAAGAAGCTCATTCCTACAGATATTTGCTATTTCCTACAGATTTTTAAAATTATTTTCTTATTATTTTACAAGTAACACTTTCAGCTGTTATTTCAAGTCTATTCCAGTATTATTTGGGTGGTTTGTTATGACATGTTATGACACTTTAAACCTTTACATTTAAGACGTCACTGTTTTGCTGAGACAAAAATGAGCTCTTCCTGTTCTCCTGCCTAAAATAATAGCAGATGAAGTGTTTACAGGAGGCGAGTGTGTAACCCAGGATTTCTGCAGCAGCGGGTTTCAGATATTCCAGTCAAATCCTGCCTTTTGTCCGATTTTTGCTGATGAGTGTTACCATCAAGCTTTACCCTGGTATCCATTAGTCACCAAGTACTTATTTTGAGAATGGTTGCTATCATCACTTATTCCCTACAGAGGTGCCACCTAGTTACTTTTGTTTTGGCAGTTATGGGTTAAATACATTCCTGGGGTTAGTCCTGCTGAAGTTTGCATTAATTTCAAATTAATGCATGGTAGATTATTTCTCAAAAGAGTAAAGCTTTGATTGAACAGAAAAAGCTCTTGTTTTTATTTTTTCATCGATGAGAGCCTTCTTTTGCTGTTTAGTTATGCTTTTCTACCCCTGCCCTACAAAGCTGTATTATATTGTGGTTAATAATGACTAGTAATTAAAAAGAACTTATGTTTTCTTTCTAAAATATTGTTTTCTTTTGAGATACCCACTTGACTGTTCTTCTTCACTGCTTTGTATCATCTTTTAAAGTATTTGTTAGCAGTCCATGGAATTAATGTTAATCTAAACAATTGTTCTAGTAAAGAGTTTTAAAATTATAAATATCCCATATAAGGCTCCTGTTTTTTTGCTCTGGTTTCATTAAATTCCAGTAATTCCCAAACAGATTAATAAATTTGATAGCAATTAGTTGATAGGAAAAAACATGTTTTTAAGCTGCTTATTTTATATACCTATATTACCTTGCATGTCTTCATTCTAGTGTCTAATATTCATCAACTATAGGGTATTTAAAATGCCTTTCTCTATTAATAAAGAGAAATAGAAGATGGAATTTTAGATTCATGAGCAAAAACAGTATCTATTGTAGCAACTGTATATCAGGGACTGGTCAATAATAATGCTTTATTGAAGTGGAAAGAAAAAAAATGGGAAATGAGGAATAAAGATAGTGACTTTGGATACTTTTTTCAAGAGATATCGTAAATAAAACGCAGAGAAATGAGGAATGGCTGGAAACTTTAAATTATAGATGAACATATTTAAAAAATATATATTTTTTATTGATATCAGAGAAGAAGGGAGAGGGAAAGAGATAGAAACATCAATGATGAGAGAGAATCATCGATTGGCCAGGCTACAGGTGCACATTTTAGACTGGTGATGGATGATGAGATAGGACTCATCTGATAACTTCTACCTTCTCAATGAAGTATGAGCAAAGTGAAGTGTTTAGATTGGGGGGAAATGGTATTAAAGGTTTAAGGCAAGAAGGGAAGCTATAAAATAGTAATTTACAAGAGTGGAGACTAGAATTTGTGAGAAATATCTGGTTTCTACATTGGTTCACTAGGGGAATATGTACTTCACTTCAGTTTCATCCTTTATAAAGTGAGAATATTATCTACTTGTAGGATTGTAGTTAAGAATTAGAGATGATATGTATAAATTACTAGCCCACCATTGGTGATTATTATTAATATTAAATGTTATTCTTTGTCTGAAGAATAAAAAAGCCTTGCTTCTACCACTGTCTTTTTAATAGATAAGGTTAACTTCTGAAATTTTATTTCTAACAAATACTTCTTTTTTATTTCTTACAACTTTAATGCTCTACAAAGTTTCTAAGTTTCTTGTGCATTAGTTTAGTTGGAATGTGTCTTTCTGAATGATATTTCTAAAATCTTAGGTTATATAATGTTTTTAGGACTTTGATGTTATAATACCTGAGAAAGAATAGACTTCAAATAGAATATTTATTTTCTCATGAGACTTTATTCTTATTATGCAGGCAAAATTATAGTTAATAATATTTTTTAAAAGTTTTTACATATCTTTATTGATTTCAGAGAGGTAGAGGAAGAGAAAGACAGAAACATCAATAATGAGAGAGGATCATTGATCAGCTGCCTTATGCATGCCCCACACAGGGGATCAAGCCCACAACCCAGCCATGTGCCCTTGACGGGAATCAAACCCAGGACCCTTCAGTCCGCAGGTTGATGCTTTATCCACTTGAGCCAACCAGCTAGGGCTTAATGATATATATATATTTTTAAGTCCAAATAATAGCATTGCAGAAAAAACAAGGAATAAAAAAATTAATACATAACTTGAAAGGGATTTTTGAAAACTATCACAAATATTATCCATTTTCTCTTTGTCTACTAACATGTTTCTGAAGACTACAGTATTTTTAAATTAAGCATTATATCAATTTTAGTAACTAATACTAATATCAATTTTAGTAATTAAGAAATGCTATTTATACAACCTTAGTGCTAACCTGATTTTATTTCCACATTAGACTAGCCATGTCCATACTTGGTATTCTCTAAAAGAATATGGATACTACCAAATCAAAGATAAATATGAAACATTGACATAGGAGATTTTACTCAATATCTTCTTCCATGTTTGTCTGCTCAAGGGCATATATCTCTTTTTCAGGTAGTAACCCATATTCATTTAGGAAAGACTCCACATCCCCAGCAAAAAATTCTTCAGTAAACTGGTCAGCAACACTAATAAAATTGCTTATGAGTTCCCCACCCTTGTAGACGAGCAGTGTGGGGAGCACATCAGGGGAAAAGCGGTCCCCGGCACCTGTATTAGAAGCTTTTATTTTACAAAACCTGACTATTGGGTATTCGGCTGCAAGGCATGTCAGGCTCCTGTTTAGAGCATCACAGCCCTTAACGCCCTCTTCATAAATGTGAACAATGATTGTGGTGATTTTCTTCTCCTTTTCAATGGTCTCCAGGAATTGCTCCCCAGTTTCCAGCTCATACACAAACCCATATCTAGGCCCAAAGCTCAGCTTCTGGTGCATATCCTGCATACACTGTCTACGGTATTTACGGAGGCAAGTTTCATCTTCTTTGTCTTGGTGAATTAGTTCATATTCTTGGATGCTCATCTGGGAATAAATAAAAAGAATTATAGAAACCATTCAGCCAGAAATTCAATTCTTTAGACACACCAAACACAGCCTTGCTCAAAGAGTTTGCATTTGCTATCCTCCCTCACCCCCAAAGTGACCTCCTCCTTGACCCCTTTCAAACTTGTTCACATGCCACCTTCTTTGATTCCTCTACCTGAAAGAATCCCTGCCCCAAGCTTTCTATTCCATATGTGGGTTTAGTTTTTCTTCATAGCAATAAACACTACCTGATATGGAATTAAATATTTATTTATTGAAGTGTTTAATTTTAATAATTGTTTTTCTAGCTGATACATTCTGTGAGGGCAGGAATTTTACTTGTTTCACTCACTACTCTTCAATATCGGCTATAATGTCTGACACAAAGTAGGGGTTTGGTAATTATTTCATGACAGAAATGCATGCATACATAAGGATTGCTGAGTATAAATGATCACAGTTTCAGTCAGAAATGTGCCACTTAGCTGCCCCTCACTTCAGGTGAGAACAAAAATTCACATACAAACCAGCAGGGTCTACTCTGGAGTGACTTTCATAAAATGTGCGTGTCGTAAAGGTGTCCTCAACAAATGCCTTTGGACATTAGTGTCTCCTCCACGAAAGTTGTTAAAAAGGTCATATCTTATCACTGACTGACTTTTTTTTTTTGATATCTAGACTAAGATCCAAGACAGCTTTACAACTATTTAGAGTTCATCAGATTAGCCAGGAGGTTCCTGCTCTACCAGCCTCAGCATCACCTGAGAAGTGCCGGGAAATGCAAATTTTTGGGCACCACCCCAGATCTATCAAATCAGAACCTGTAAGAGTGAGACTGGGTGAGCCGTATTGAAACAAGCCCTGTAGGCAATTTTTTAAAAAAACAAATATCTAACTATTTTTTAAAATATATTTTATTGATTTTTTACAAAGAGGAAGGGAGAGAGATAGAGAGCCAGAAACGTTGATGAGAGAGAAACATCAACCAGCTGCCTCTTGCACACCCCCTACTGGGGATGTGCCTGCAACCAATGTACATGCCCTAGACCAGAATCGAACCTGGGACCTTTTAGTCCGCAGACCAACACTCTATCCACTGAACCAAACCGGTTTCAGTTCTAGGCAATTCTTATCCACTGGTTTAGGCTAAAGCAAGAAATGGCCTTTCATCTTCCATCATAGCTACTAATCACTACAGATGGAACATAAAATTATTTGCAGAACCTTTCTTAAGAACTACACATTATCAACTCATTCAACAGAATGTTAAAAACCCATCCCGCACAATCACTTCCCTCCTCTCCACCCCCCCCCCTTTTTTTTTTTAAATAAGGAGGAGGAAGTAGAAGAAGAAAGGGTACAAAGGAGCAATAAAGGGCCTAAAGTGCTGTGGAGCAGTCCACAACCATGGAAGGTGGGCAGTTCCCAAGGGGATCAATCAGCCTTCTCATCAGTAGCCTCTCAAACAGCAACTGCTGACAGTATTTCAAGTCGACAATTGAGAAGGCAAGAAGGGGGATTTAAGAAAAATCTTTATCTTAAACAATTTATATAGATTATTTTACTTAATCCTCACAACAAACCTATGAGGTAGCTGTTAATACATCATTTTACAGAAGATACTGAGGTTCAGGTTAAGTAAAAGTATCTAATGCTTTCATACATCCTCTTGTTTCTGCCTCTTATATTTGTTTTTCTAATGCCCTCATTCTTTTTTTTTTATATTTTTTCTGCTTTAAGGTTATTGTCCCAATTTAATTTGTTTAAAAATATATTTTTATGTATTTCAGAGAGGAAAGGAAAGAGAGAGATAGAAACATCAATGATGAGAGAAAATCATTGATTGGCTGCCTCCTGCACATCCCACACTGGAGATTGAGCCCACAACCTGGGCATGTGCCCTGACTGGGAATCGAACTGTGACCTCCTAGTTCATAGGTTGACGCTCAACCACTGAGCCACACTGGCAGGACTAATTTGTTTTAAACCTAAATATTGTTAAATATGTCGTACAATTTTGAAGTTGCTACTATAATTATGTTAATTTAAACAGACTAAACTACACACTGACTGAAACATTTGAGCATTTTTATGAGAACTTGTTCTTCAAGCATAGAAATATTTAATGATTAGATACATTGCTAAAGCTTAACCTTAGTACAGCTTTAACAAAGATAATGTCTCATGTTTGTGTAGCATTTTACACTTTTCAAAACACTTTTACACTTATTTTCTCTTCACATCCTATAAAGCAAGTGGAGGAGGTGTTACAGTTCCTAGGATGGGAAAATTTAATTGCCTTACCCACATCACATAATGACTCAGAACCAAAACCAACATCTTAGAATTTTACAGCGGCCAGAAGCCTGGAAGTAAATATATTTCTGAAGCACTGTCTGTTGAGAATCAATATACAACAACTCAAATATACTAGTTTGAAAAGAATCCACTAAAGTGATTTTTCCCACGGTGAAAATCACTTTATGGTTTATTTTATTAATATTGTTTTTATTAATATTGTTTATTAATATTGTTTTTGCAGGCATGGTTCAGTAGTTAAGCATCAACCTGTGAACCAGGAGCTCTCGGTTCGATTCCTAGTTGGGTACATTCCTGAGCTGTAGGCTCCATCCCCATTGTGGGGCATGCAGGAGGCAGCCCATCAATGACTCTCTCTCATCATTGACATTTCTGTCTTTCTCTCCCTCCCCTTTCCTCTCTAAAAATCCACAAAAATAAGTGGAAAATATTGTTGTTGTTATATAAATTAATACATACTAATTATAAAGATTCAAAAATAAACGATAACCTAAAGGCAGAAAGTAATGTCACGACTCTGATACTCTGCGATAATCTCCATTAACATCATAGAGATCATCTTCCAACGTATCTCTTCATGCACATAGACATACACCTTCTATAACAAGTATATAAGAAAGCTTCAAAAAACAGTGCTGTATAAAACCATGACTCATGTTTACACATTGTACATTATTTATTGATTTTTCCTTAGCTTACCTTTCTGCTGAATCTTTCTTTTGAGTCTTTGTCATCCCTGCTCTGAGGAGAAGACATTTGTCTGAGAATCTCCTTCTTGCTGGGTGGGACTGAGTCGTTATCTTCACTCTCTAATTTAAACTTTCTCCAATCATGTATCACTCCTTTGGGTCCTGAAATACAATTAAAAATCAATTGTTTCCTCTTTTATTTTCAAAAAGACTTTGTACATTGACATTCATGTGTCACCATGGGAATAGACTTGTCATGTTCTGGATCAGAAACAAACATCTTGTTTGGGCTACACATTTCTGACTACCATCCTCATAAAAAATGTCTTCTCGACGTTAATCCTGTTAAATAGGGTTTGGCGAAGAATCTTTCTGAAACATCTGCATTGATGAAAATGCAAATGATGGACTTTGAACAATTGTCAAAATTTGGGGATAAGTTTAGAGCATAGAGAGGAAACTAGAATTTTAGAAAAACAGCATTTTTAATTTTTTTTTTTTTTTTTTTACATAAGAGAGGCTTCGTGAATAACTACAATTGGCACCACACCATAACAAAGGAAACTAGGATTGTTGGAGAAACAAATTAAAATATATCAAGATCCAAAATAAAAATAGCACATAAAAGAAAATCAGTGAGAGGGAGGCCTACCCTCAGTGAGCAAAACTAAATGGCTTTTAAAAAAAATCATTATATAATCTAATTCCTTCTAAGATTCTAAGAATCTTTTAAAGATATTAAAAGGGTAGGATTTGCATATTTAAATCAAGAGTGATCCAACTGGAATTTTGATGTTCAGTTGCCCTGATAAATAATAATAGTGTTTGGAAGAATGTCTAAATTCTTGAAAATATGCAGTTGTACATATTCTTCACTGAAGGTTAGCCATATCCATATCTTTAATATTATATTATATATGTAAACATATTTTCTTTCTCCACATATTTTCAAAGAATTGTTATTTATATAATTTTAATATAAATTTATTTATGCTTTGTGGGGGCAAAAATAGATTTACTGTTGTGAGGACATGAAACAGTGTATTCTTGTATTATTATTTATTAACTTGAGGCCCAGTACATGGATTCATTCACCAGTTGGGGGCCCCTCAGCCTGGCCTGTGGGGATTGGCCAAAACCTGCAGTCCTACATCCCGTAAGGGATGTAGTAGTGTGCAAAGCAGCAAGCAGCCAGGGAGGAGCCAGAGTTTGGGCTGGGACTGCGCTGCTCCCTCTCTAGGTAAAGCTGCTTCGGAGGCAGGAGAGGCTTATGCCACAGCTGTGCTCACCAGCCTTGAGCCCCAGCATCTGATGCCCATTGGTCAGCTGAGCGGCGCTTCTGCTATGGGAGCACACTGGCCACCAGGGGGCAGCTCCTGCATTGAGCACCTGCCCCCTAGTGGTCAGTGTGTGTCATAGCCACCAGTCAAACAGTTGACCTGTTGATTGGTTGACCAGTTGCTTAGGGTTTTACAATATATATATAGACTAGAGGCCTGATGCACGAAATTCATGCAAGGATAGGCCTTCCTTCCCCTGGCTGCCGGTTTCACAGCCCCAGCTTCACAGCCCCGACTTCTGGAGCCCTGGCCCTGCTGCCTGCTCGCATCCACCTGAGCCTGCGACTACTGCCACCCGCCCCCCGCCCCAGTTCCCCAGAGCCCCCCAATCAATTGCTCCACAGAGGGTGGCCTGGCCTCCCTCTTTGGGGCGATCGCAGAGCCCCCCGATTAATCACTCTGCCAGCTTGTGGCCTGGGCCTCCCTTTGTGGGGCGATTGTGGGGCAATGGCAGGGCCCTCCGACCAGCCACATTGCACCCGCCTTGGCTGGCCTCGTGCCAGTGCATGTCATAGCGTGGTTGTCCAGATGGTCATTCTGCTGTTCGGTCATTCAGTTGATTTGCATGTTACACTTTTATTATTAGAGATTATTTTCCATATGAATAACTGTAAACCTACTTTTGCCCACCCTTGCATTCATTATATTTAGGCAGTTAATGGTTTTTGTTTACTTGTATCATGGTCGTCTTCCAGGTATGTTTTACATATATAAAATATGTACATTTATAGCATGTGTTTATATGTATATAAAAATCATTTTTTAACTTGTTTTAAAAAATTGTAGTATATTATACATAGTTTCCTAATCTTGCTTTCTTTCTTTTTCTTTTTTTTTTTTTATCTCATAATGTATTTCAGAGATATTTTTCACATACATACATACATAGATGCTTCCTTTTTTTAAAAACGAGTAATGGTATTTCATTGTATACATATTAATTTACTTAAGCAGTTTCTTTGTTGCTTCCACATTTTTTCCTGATAGTCTTGTCAGGTTTTTCTGGAGGAATATTGATTTAAGAATGTTTTATCATTACCTTTACTTTTTTACAGAGTAACAAATTAAAAAACTTTATTTATTTATTTATTTATTTATTTATCTTTTGATCTACTATTGTTTACAATTGCAAAGAAAGTCCATAGTGGGGTGTTTTAGGTCAGAGGATAGTACATAGGTCTTATGAGCGTTGGCAGCAAGAAATCCTCAATAACGAGTGTTTCAAAGTTCTCATTCCTTAACTTCTAAGTAAATTTTTTTTAAAGTACTTGATCTCACATTAATGTACCCACTCAATTATTTTTAGATGATTCCATTAGACCACTCAAAAGTTTAACAAATTCCATACTGGACAGTGGCAATAAGAACATTGGGGATCTTCAGGCTTAATCTTATTTTAATAATTAATCTTATTCCTGTTGCTTTGCTTACCTGTATGTGTCGCCTGTCCTTCAAAGTCTTCTTCCAAACTTGGATTTTTGGCTTCTTCCATTTTAGAGATTAGATTTGATATAATCTATAGGATCAGCAAAGAAGTAATGATAGATCAGAAATAAAAAAGATAGATAAATACATAAATATTCCTCTGCTGTCAGGTTCCATGGAGGCTAAGGGTTATCACTAAGTGATGAAGTGTTTAATATGTTTCTATCTGCTTGTAAAAGAACATTAATATTTGTATTATTAAAGATATTTGGACCTAAGGATTTTATGTAATTCATAGTTTGCCTTTTACTTAAAAAGCCTTCAATTTAGGTCTATGTACTCAGTGAACATTTTTTTTTTTTGCAGATTTTTTTTTATTGATTTCAGAGAGGAAGGGAGAGGGAGAGAGAGATATAAACATCAATGATGAGAGAGAAACATTGATTGGCTGCCTCTTGCACTCCCCTTACCAGGGATTGAGCTCACAACCCAGGGCATGTGCCCTGACCGGGAATCGAACCGTGACCTGTTGGTCCATAGGTGGACGCTCAACCACAAGCCACACCAGCCTGGCTCAGTGAACATTATTTATTATTGATTTTCTTTTTTTATTAGTGTGTATTACCAAATTTGTAGAATTATATCTCAATATTTTATATAATAAAAACATTTTAATTCATAATAATTATATACTTACTTACTATGAACATTTACTATGTACCAGGCATTGTTTCACTTAAGTGTCAAAAAATCATTTAATTCTCACACAGATGTATGTGGCTGGGCTAGTTATTAATGCCACTTTACAACTGAGGAAGCTAAAGGATGGAACTTAAGTTTCTTGCCATTTTTTCTCAATACAGTTTGACAAATTCAACTTCTCAAATTGGCATTAAAGAATGCTATTCAAAACCTCACATCATAACATCTCTTCGTTCCAGAGCAAATTTTGGGGATGTTACCCACTAAGCCAGTGAAAACCAGTAATTATACCTATAGATTTTTAAAAAACTGTAAGGTACATCACAAAATCTAACAAAAGCACATGGAGTTTATTCACAGTTAATCCCTGGGTGCCCTCAGGTAGAACCTATTTATTCTTAGTTCATACTTAAATCCAACCTATTTGCTTATTTATCTTTTCATTTTCTGGAAAACGCTGTATACATACTAACACATTCCCTAAGGGGCCCATATAGTTGTGATTTTCTTGAAGTTTTCAAGTCCTGGAAGATATATATTAACAGCAGATACGAGTACACTGTTTTTTCACCCTTATTTCTTCTACCTTTTCCCTTTGTCCCTTTCAAAGTCAGTTTTAAGCTATGATCCCTCTCCAAAAGTATTTGGTTTATACTTCCTCTTTGGACTTGGTCTATTTGGTGCTTTCCCAAGGAACAGAATGGTAAACAGAACTCTTTGTCTCTATGCAGAAGCACTGGGGATGCAAAAACCCCAGAGTGAGTTGATTACACCGAGGTCAGAGGTCTTTGCCAATTTAATTTATTTTACTTGAACAGGAAAGGCTTTTATGAGAAGGCTGTTAAGGGAATATTTAGCCATTCTTCAATATATATATGTAACTTTAAATGTAATAAATAATACTAAATTAAATTTGAATGGATTTAGTAATGAAAAGGAATAAAAGACAATGGAAATCGGGGAAAATGGAAATAAATAAATCTTGTTGGACAAAAGGAGCTACTTAATGACTACAATTATATAAAAATAATTTTTGCATCTAAGATAAATGAATATTATTGGTTTACCTCAAAAGAACACTACAGATCAAAGTAATAGAAGCTTATTAGACAACTTCAATCGCTGTTTAATCCCCAGAAAAGTAGAGACTCAAGCCAGTGTCTTTTATTTTACTATTAGATAGTTAATCTGGGGTAGTTACTATTTGCAATAAATATTCATAAGATTTTTAAAAATATAAAAATAAATTTATTTCAAATATTGAAGAGGCATAAGCCTTGCTTGCTTCTTGCCATCCTACTTGGCAATCCAGTGGAGAAAAAAAAAAAAAAAAAAAAGAAATTTCATTTTACAAAAAGACTCTTGACAATTTCAAAGAAATCCCTTTACTGAAAAGATAATTCAATTACTTGGGGGAAACATGATTCCTTGATTATATTAGTATACTAGGGGCCCAGTGCACAAATTCATGCACCTTGAAAGGAACTGTGGGCCATGAGGCTGCAGTGGGCACAGGGGCAGATCTTGGCCCATCTTCCGTGCCCCTGCCTGGACCCTCCCGCCATAGCCTATGATCTCCTGTCTGCTGGTCCCATCCCACCACTCCCACATGCTGACAGAGCTGGCCCTGCTTGCACTCACTCGCATCACCCAGAGATTGGGGCTGGTGCCAGCAGCAGGTGTGAGCAGGGCTGGCGCTGTCAGTGGGTGCAAGCTGCAGTTGCTGCCCCGATTGCCCCTCAAGAGCAGGGGGAGGTGGAGAAGCCCTCAGGGGTGATCAGGGCCAGCAGCCGCTGCTCACACTCACTGCAGGCGCCAAACATATATAATGCTTTTTCCTATATATACATAACTATAATAAAGTATAAACTAGGCATAGTGAGAGATGAACAAAAATAGCTGATAATAGAATAATTATCAGTAAGAGGTGTGCAGGAGGCAGCTGATTGATGTTTCTAACTCTCTATCCCTCTCCCTTCCTCTCTGTAAAAAAATCAATAAAAATATTTAAAAATAACTGAATGGGAATCCAGTATTGAAGGACTTGATTAAAATAATTTTTAACTCAACTAGAGTGGAATTTAGCAAGTTATCTTTAAGGCCTACCTGAAACCAAACAAGACTGCTAGGTGGGAAAATCTGTAGAAATCCTGTTTCACCTGCATTTTGATAGAAACCTAGATCCTGTTTAGATCTCTGCTCCGTAAGGTATCACACTCTCTGCACCCACCCTTTTCAGGGCTCCCTGTCCTACCTTTCTCTGCCTCTAACATGCATCTCCAGAGGTCTCTGCTCTCCTGCCTTTTCCAGGGTGACTGTGAGCTAATCTGATCAACTAAGCCAGGCCAATGTTCTCACCAAGGCTGACATATTAGTGTCAGATGTTTTAACCTCTGCCAGGACTGTCCTCCCAACATCAAATTGGACTCCTATAGAAAACAGTTCAGCCTTTTCTTTCTTATTAAAAAATGATTTTAAGACAGAAATGTCAGGATCTTGCAGGGAATTCAGAACACACACATTATTTTTAATATCTCTATATCTTATATATACATTATTCCAGTTTGAATTCCATTATAGACATTATTGTGAATGGTCCATTATATTTTGGCAACTTATGTAATACCAAATCCAGCTTATAAACATAATATTTAGGCAAAGAATCACCATGATGAGTGAGATTATCTTTAAAAAATTTGCTAGCTCTGAATGTTAGGTGATTCTAAATAGCATGTATAGTAATCAAAAATATGCATTTAAAATGGATACTATAGTTAAAGCTATTTTTTTTTGCAGTTAATAGATATATTTAATGGGAAAACAATGAGAAAAATCTTACTTCATTCTCATGATGGAAACTGTAAAATTTATTGTATTAGTAATCACCTCGCCCTAGCCAGTTTGGCTCAGTGGAAGAGTGTCAGCTTGCGGACTGGAGGATCCCGGGTTCAATTCTGGTCAAGGGCACATACCCAGGTTGTGGGTTCGATTCCCAGTGTGGGGCATGCAGGAGGCAGCCGATCCATAATTCTCTCTCATCATGGATGTTTCTATCTGTCTCTCTTCCTTCCTCTCTCTGAAGTCAGTAAAAAATATATTTAAAAAAATAATCATCTCAATGCATGCAATATAGCAGCAAAATGAAACTAACTGAAAAAATATATTTCACCTAATTTAACAAATATCAACAAACCTCCTGTGCTCTTTTCTTTTAAAAACATCATTTCTGTTTCATTAAATTTCAAAGTAACCTTCTGAAGCAAATGCATGTATTATTATTCCCACTATAAAGATTAAAACAAAACAACCAAAATATATACCATTAAGGAAAAAGCCAGAGAACATACAACTCATTTAGTGTTTGGTTCAGAGATCTGAGAGTGTTACAGTGTTGAAAGTAATATTCCCTCTTAAGCCCCGGGAGTCAAACCTTCAAATATGAAGTGCAAGAAATCATCACTTCTTTCCCTCAGTTTTCCTTTCACTCAAAGGGAGGAATGAAGAATTTAAAATTTTAAAGCTACTTCTCTATGCATTGTTCCTAGAATTATCAGACTCAAAATTGCATGTTTATCCTGAATTTACATTAGTGAAGATGTCTCCTGCAAATAAATCACTTTAAGAAGGAAAGAAACACATTATTTGTCTTTATAGTAAATTATTACTTAATGTTACTTGCAATATTTTAGAAGAACACACAGTAATACATACAGTAAAATCATTATTCTTTCCCTGAAGGTAAATTTTTAGAAATTATCAAGAAGACTATTGGTGACTCACAGTTTGGTTCTCTGTGCCTGGTGTCCTTGATTATGCTCAGTGGATAAGAATCCCTGGGGATAGTTCTCCTCTTGACCTTGGACGGGTTTAAGCTCAGATTTAAGATCCCTGGATATTGATGACCCCTGCAGAAATAGCTCTGAATAGGTAATAGGATTGACATAAGAGAATTAACAAGCCCATTCATTAATAGTAGGGCAAAACCAGACAAATATGCTGAAAAAAGAGCTTTGGGTCCTGTGATAAATGCAATCTTTGTTTACTTAGTTTATGTTTTAAGAAAAAAAATTTTTCTCTTTTCAGCATAGACTGATCTATTCTTGCCATTTCTGAAAGAAAAATATTAGTTTTTTTTTATTAAGAAAATTTTCTTGATTTAACTATAGTAACTATCCTTCTCAACAACATTTGGCATGGTACATTTTCCCTCTAAAGTTCAAACAATTACTTTCCTCTCTTTTTTTGGTGCCTTGAAATGTCTCATAATAAAATTTCTGCTGGTCCTTATTTTTGTTTGTTTGCATGGTTTGGGGAAAATCCTGGAAAATTTTGGATACAGTCTTTAGCACTGTGGATGACCTCTGCTTTATTGTATCTTTTTTGGCCCTTGTTTGTTCCATTATGTTGCTCATTTCACTTTTCTTCCATGAACTTTTATTCAACAATTTATTGACTACCTACCTTTTGCTTGAAGAAACTTACCAAAACTTATTGCAGACTTCAGAAATTAGATTTTTGCACTGAGATGGTGGGTTAGGACTATCCCAGAGAATGACTAGTCTATGAACTAAGAATAGTAAGCTTATAGTTTATAGGATGCATTGAATAGTTGAGAGATAGCAATTACATGAGTGCTTAGTTTTGCCAAATAGAAACACAGAAAGGAAAAGCCAAGAAACCAACAAAATTGTATTAATAATCTACTCTTGTATTGGCTATTTACTAGGAATGAGTAGAAATGAAGGATTGGGGATGAGGAATTGACTTCTTTCCAAGCATAATTTTGTACAGTTTGACTTTTGTAATGATGATAACATTTTAATACACAAACTAAACCCACAAAGTAGTGTAAAGCCAGTAAAAATGAGGGGCCTACAAAAAGAAGCAAGTGAAACTAAATATTTCAAATGAAAAATATAAATACATTGAAAAGGGGAGGAGAGTAATGAGCACAAGTAACTTCTGAATACAATATTTTGAAAACTTAAGTTTAGAATAATGACCAAAAGAATTGTACACAAATATTGAACTCTAGTCAGTAGGATTTTTTTTTTTTGCAGTGTTGCAGGTTAGCATTCTGTTATCTACTTCGTGTGGCATGCTCATGAGATTTACATATGCAGCATGATTTACCAGTATAATAGCCAAGATCGAAGCAGCCCAAGTGCCCATCAGTAGATGAGTGGATAAAATAGTGATATATTTATACAATGGAATACTACTCAGTCACAAAAAGAAGGAAATTTTACCTTTTGTGACAGTATGGATGAACCTGGCGATTATTAAGCTAAGTGAAATAAGCCAGTCAGAGAAAGACAAGTGCCATATGATTTCACTTAGATGTGGAATCTAATGAACAAAATAAACGAACAAAATAGAAACAGACTCATACATTCAGAGAACAGACTGACAGATGACAGTTGAGGAACTATGTGAGAAAGGTAAAGGGATTAAGAAAAAAAAATGTAGACCCAAAGAACTGTATTGTGATTACCAGAGGGAAAAGGAGGTAGGGGGCAGGAGAAAGAGGGTAAAGGGAGGACAAATGTTGATGAAAAAAAGACTTGACACACAATACAATATATGTATGATATTGTATAGAATTGTACACTTGAAACCCATATAATTTTATTAATCAGTGTCACCCCAATAAATTCAATAGAAATTAAAAAAAAAGAGATATATAATCACTCAAAAAAGAGAATAAAGTAATATTAGTAAATATTCTTTTCTAAAAATAAATTCCATATTTAGTGTCTGTACTTCTGTAAGAACTAAAAGGAATGGGCTGCCAGACTCTGAGTATCACAGTATTCCTGCAGGAAGCACAGCTTTAATTACACATAAAGCTCTTCCTATTATCTATTTTTTCTTCAAGTGTTATTAAAAAACAAGCTTTATACATGAGTAACCAATCAAGGCCTGAATCTTCCTCCCTTCCTTCCTTCCTTCCTTCCTTCCTTCCTTCCTTCCTTCCTTCCTTCCTTCCTTCCTTCCTTCTTCAAACTAAAATATTTTAAGAACTATGGTGGTAACATTTCATTCAGGTGAGAATTTTAAGTGGATTCTAAAACTATTGATGAAAAGCAGGGTATCTTCACAGTCTCTGAATACCTCCCCACAATTTACGTGTTACCAAGTGAAAAGTAAGAAGTTAAGAAATCTGTGAAAACTTCCTATTAGAGTCATTAGTTAACATCACCAGGAATGAGATTAACCGACACCATGTGTGTTTGATGCTGAGAAAGACCCAGCATCACACTTGTGGAATTCTAACCAAAAATGTATAGTCTAAATTTACTCATGAGGAAATATCAGACAAAACCTAAATTGAGAGACATCTACAAAGTACCTGTCTTGTCATGAGGAAGTTGTGAAAGACAGAGAATGAACAACTGTTTCAGATCAAAGAAGATTAAAGAGATATGGCGGCCAAATGAAATATGAGATCCTGGATTACAATAACTCTTGGCTCTGTTTCTGGACATTATGAAGACAATTGGTGAAATATGAATAAGGTCTGTAGATATGATAATAGTATTACATTGATATTAGCCCTCTGTGATTTCCAACTATACTGTGATTATTAAAGAGAATCTTTTTGTTCTTTCCAGGAAATACATATTGAACTAGTTTGTTACTCAACACATCAAACACTAGGTGAATAATAGTTCAGTGAACAGATTTGATTAAAGCCTTTGAAAGTGTTACTCAGAAACATTAATCTTTTGTAGTACCCAATTACTCCAAATTCATGGACTAGCCCATAGAGTAATTTGTGTAAATCTAATGTACAAATCAACCACATAGCAGTAGACAGATAATTCTAACTGGACTCTAACAGAATTAGCAATGAAATAAGAAAGCAATAATATCTTTTAGGAGTTAGATCATCAAGATAACAGCATTGGGCCCTAGCCAGTCTGACTCGATCTGCTTGCAGGTTTCTCCCTGGCCCAGGCCCAGGCCCTGGTGGGTATTCTTGCAGGAGGCAGCCAATCCATATGTTTCTCTCATCAATGTTTCTCACTATCTTTCCCTCTCTCTTCCACTCTCCCTAAAAAACAATGGAAGAATATCCTTGAATGAGGATTAATGAAAAAAGAAAAAGAAAAATAACAGCATTGGGATAAAATGTAGAGAATTTGTTTCAGCTTCTTGTTCAATAAGCCTGTTCCTCAATTTTATTTATTTATTTACTTATTTATTTATTTTTAAAATATATTTTATTGATTTTTTTACAGAGAGGAAGAGAGAGGGATAGAGAGTTAGAAACATTGAGGAGAGAGAATCATCCATTAGGTGCCTCTTTCACACCCCCCACTGGGGATGTGCCTGCATCCAAGGTACATGCCCTTGACCCAAATCAAACCTGGGACCTTTCAGTCCGCAGGCCCATGTTCTATCCACTACTGAGCCAAACCATTTTCGGCTGTTCCTCAATTTTAGATAATGAGGACAAAGGTATCAGGACCCCAGATATCTTCAAATTCGCTTTCTAATGATTCTGATTAAGGAAAAACAAGTTTGTAAAAAATAATAATAATAATAAAAAAAAATACACACTTTTAAATTCAGTAACGTTTACATTTGAAATAACTTCAAACCTAAAAGTTGCAAGAAGAGCACAAGAAGCTTTGTTTGATATATCTTCCCCAGATTTCCAAATCGTTAACTTTTTTTTTTTTTTTTTTTTATCACATTTGTTTAATTCTCTTTCTCTTTTGACCTACTCTATTTTTTTCTTCTGGGAAAGTTTTTTTTTTTTCTTTTTAAAAAAAGACAATTAATTTGGGTGACATTGGTTAATAAAATTATGTGGGTTTCAAGTGTACACTTAATTCTATAATAGATCATTTGTATACTGTATGTTCAACATCCCAAGTCAAATCTCCTTCCAACACCAAAAATCCTAGGTGTGCTTAAAATTACTTCAAAATAAAAAGAAGCCTCAAAATATTAGGAGTGAATGGTTTCTAGTTCTTTTTGCTTGCTTAAATAGCATGAGGTGGTTGTTAAGAGCATAAGTAAGTAACATAAGGTAGTGGTTAAGAGCATTGTTTTTAGAGTAAGAGATGCTCAAGTTCAAGCCCTGGCTTTTTTGTTTATTGTTGTGATAATCCTCTCTGAGCTTTGGTTTTCTTATGTTGAATGGTAGGAATACTGACCTTAGGGATTCAGCGTGAGAATCTACTACTTCACAGCATTAACTGTCACACACTAAGCAGGCAATATTCTGTTATTATTTTTGCTTCATCTGTTTCTCTCATTTTTATATATCCTTTTTCTTCTCCTGATGTAATTCCAATAATTTGTCTTTACTTTTAAAACTTTAGCCTTTCTTTTTACTACAGGATGTTGAAGACTCAATTCTAACAGCAACAACAAAATACATTGATATATGCAGATTTTGATTTATGTTTGGTTAGGAAAATTGTATTTCTCCAGCTGGTAAAATAAGAACAACAACAAAACCCCACAAACATTGTTAGAGCTCATAAACCAGAATATAATATATTCTATTTGGATTGCTCCTCTTTCAGACACACCCTTTTGGACTGTCTTACCATTTTGAAATTTAAATAGTTATTTTAAATAAAGCATTTTTTGGACAGAATATATGAAAAGAGCATGTAGAGTGACCTGCCTACAATCTTAACTCCCTTTGGAATAGCTCTACACTTTAATGACTCAAGGTTTGACTAAAGAATCCGAAATACAAAGCTAAAAATGATGACAAGTTAGTGGCACAAAAGTATTTAAGGAGAAAAGTGTATTTTAGAGGGTATCTCTGGTGTTTCAGGATAATCATTTAAGATGCCCGATGAACCAATGAAAATAGCTTCGAGCTTTATGAGTAGTTGAAAGGTTTAAATGAAAGCTTTGTCTCAACTTCAAAATATTGAAGTTGGCAGGACA